GCCACGTTGTACAAAGATTTTCCCTCTTTACGTAAAGCAGAAAGGTAAAATGACACGGAACAGTGTATTCTGCCACAGTTACTTTGCGAAGTAGTTAGTCATAATGTATTAAAGTACGCTTACCCTTGAGTCGCTGTTTCAAGACCGGTTATTTGAATCAGAAAGAATTTCAAAGCGGCTACAGACAGGAAATCTGAAACTTGAAATCTGAATTCTCCCTTTCCTGTCTTCTCTTCTTGTCCTAAAAGACTTAATTTCTACGACTTTACTGTTAGAGCAGTCAACCGTTGCTACTCGCAGTACCAACCACATAGCTGAGTTTCTTTCCAATACGAGTCTGGAACGTTGACTAGTTTTGAATCCTGATGCCGACTACTCTCATCTTATTTTGCACTGGAACAACCGATCTGAGTGCCCAAGAATAACTTGCTCCAATTTCTGCCATTTTACCTGAACTCACTTAATCTACATCTAAATACCTGAGCGTATAAAAATCTTATTATTAACTAGTTTATTAACTACACTCTAAAATATACAATAAATATGAAGCCAGCGACAGCATTCTTAACAGCTGCTGCCTACCTCATAGTGTAAACAATCAAACAATAAGAAATTATGTAAAAATAACTATCCCTTATTAATAACAACAACGCACACAAGAAATAGAATTTGCTTACGGGCACGTAAGAAACACAATCAAAAACAAGGATGCAACAAGTCGAAATCGATTAGAAAACACTAACCTGAAGGGCGTCTCACCGTCTATTTGTACACCTGTCCCATCCTTGCAGTGATCACTGCCTGCTATCCCCCCTAGGAGCTTTCCGTGCAGCAGCTAACCACCTCATACTGTAAATGTACTTTTTGAGCATGGTCGCAACAGCATTATGTGACAGGTTTGGTAACAAACCAAACCTAATCAGGCAAACAGCCATCAGCACCAAAGAAATTGATACGCAGGTATTACCACCCTTGAGGCGGAGTGTTCTCAACAGTTCGTCAAAGGAAGTTGTATTATTTGTGATTACGGCAACTGCAAACAATCCCGAGAGGAAAGAGGTTAGAAGTTAAACACAAGTGCTTTTTGCATGTGGGAATCAACGTTCATTTCTAACAAAAGATATAGTGAAGCGTCCACAATTCAAAGTTTTTGGTATAGAAGAGCTGCCTCTGTACACGTTTGCAGCACTTGAGGCTCAACAGTATCACCTGCTAAGAGTTAGGGTAAATGTCCAGTTATTAACTAGGAAGTGTAAAAAGTCATACTCAAATGTGATTAAGAAAACGACCGCGAAGCTGAGCATAAGATTGGAAAATAAGGAAAGAATGTCATCACTGGATTAGAAAGTAAAGCCAGACATGCTGATAGGGGTTGACTATTGTTGGGGTCTTACGAGACTAAGGTTAAGGAAGACAAGGCAGATTTTACGTAGTACTAACTAAGCTGGGAGAGGCCCTGATGGGAGGGAAAGAGGGCGCTAGAGAAGAGAGCAGAAAGAAAGATAATGTGCTCGCTCGTTACTCCATCACGTAGGCAGCTGAATAGCTTTAGGATTTAGAGCGTTCAGGTATCAAGGAGTCACTCATGTCCAACGACGACGACGAGACGTTGAAGCAGTCCTATCAAACTCTGGAATTCAGTGACAGCCGAAATATAGTTAGCTGGCAGTACAGGGTTGTAGAGTAGCCTGTACAAATAACTACATGCTTTGCTCCTCATGTTTAAGTGGTTCTGTTACCAGATTAAAGAGAAGATGGCTTTTAGGAAGCACAATGAGATAATGAAGAAAAAATTATCTTTGAATATAATTGAGACAATCTTGAATAAAGCGTCTTTTCATAATGTCGCGATTTACCCCCACCGTCTTATCACTCGAGATAAACAAACTACGAAAGTACGAACTTGATGTGATACGTCAGTCAAGCCAAATGAAAATTTGGTAAGTTCAAGAGAAACCTTATACCATAAACCAGTTCTTTTATTAGAATTGTATGGTAGTTTGTTAGAATTTCGTACGTTTAAATATAGGGTAATCGCAAAGATTAAAAAATATCTTTGCAAACTGAATTACATTCGAAAGACAGAATTTGATAAAATTTTCATGGCTCAAGGATATTTCTTAGAGTCCGTTACCCACAAACCTTATCATATATAGGTTTAAACGTGTAGCTTTCGACGTAGTCTCAGGTCTCCTTTTATTAACCGCCACGGTAACGTGTCTCTCAAAAAGAAGTTTGGCGAAGCTTTGGATGAAGGAAATACTGAAGGGGCTGAGTTGATCAAAACGTTCAAAGATCAAATTTACGTTGACGGTTCAATCGTAGGTTATGACGATGGGAAGGAGGTTGTTCGTTTATACCATGAATTTAAACAAATATTCGCAGATGCTTCTTTTAATACGCCTGCTCTAAGGTCAAATATGAAGAGGTCTTACGAGCCAATTCCCGCAAAAGACTCAGAAATTGGTTCAATTCAGAAAGTGTTAGGAATTAAATGGCAAAGGCAGACGGATCAGTTAGAGCTAAGATTTACAGAGAGGGTTTCAAAAAATGAGCTCATAACAAAGTCGAAAATTTTATGCCGTTTTGCTCAAAATTATGTTCCCTTAGGAGTGCTGGCTCAAGAGAAATTGAAAGCAAAAATTTCGGTCCAATCAATGTGGATCTTCCTGACAACGCTCTGGAAAAACGGATAAAGATCCAGAAGGCGTTAAAAGACGTTAGCAAGCTACCAGTACTTAGGAGGGTAAGGAATCAACAACCAGAAACAAAATATGAACTGCGTGCATTTTGAATGCCTCTGAGAGACTCTGCTTAGCAGTAGTATATCTTAACTGTAAAAATAAAGGAGAAGACAATTCAGAATAGATATTTGGTAAGAATAGGTTATTTTATTAAAAGGCACGTCAATTCCGCGAACTGAAAGCAAATTTGAATCGTTTTGACGTGGTTGTTTCGAACTCGAATTACATTATATTATTTTGAACTTCTTCACATTAATATACATTACTTTCGAATTTGTTAGTGAGACCTGAGTCTGCATTAATAAGTGAAATTTAAAATTTTTGCTTGAGCTTTACTTTTGGTTTTATTCACATTTTTGTGTCAATCTCTTTTGCGAGTTTTCAGTTCATTACCTGTTGTTCAAATGTTATCGCGTGCGTCTTTAAAATATTTAATATAGCAACAATAACTCGACACAACCCCAATTGAACGGAAGAGACTGTCCTCGAGAAGAGACCAATCTACGTGAGTTCTCAGGCATGTCGTAGCTTTACAACCGTTGTTTCAGATGTAGGTGGCCCGGTCAATAAACATGTTGTTTGGACAACTTCCGTAGTTACAGAAGTTAAGCAGCACAAAGCAGAGGAAGAAATAGAAAAATATCAAGTGATTTCTAATGAATTGATTATCCTATTTTCAGATACCATAAATATTCCAATTCGTGAATCGCGTGTATTTTTATTTCCATTATGTCATTAATTATTTCCTTATATTATTTTGGTAAAGTAATTCAAGTTACTGGAAGTCAACTATATAAGATGCATCTCCTGTCCACAGCGCTCGCTTCGCCTAGGCTTAATCAGTCAGCCTTCGTTTTTGAAAGTGTTGTGATCATACCCGAAATGGGTGTACAAATAGACGGTGAGGCACATTTAAGGTTAGCGTTTTTAAATCAATTTCTACTGGTTGCATTCCTCTTTCGGCTTTTGCGTCTAACGACTCTTTCACGTACCCATAAACAAATCTTCTTCTTGTGTGTGTTGTTGTTGTGAATGAGAGATAATTGTTTTTACATAATATCTTATGACTGACTGTTCACGCCATGAGGTATATAGTAGTTGTTGAGGCTAATGTCTCTGGCTTTATATCTGTTGTATTGTTTCTAAGTTTAGCTAATAAACTGGTTAATCATAAGATCTTTACGAATACAAGGCGTTTAGAGGTGGATTCAGCGAGCTTAGATAAAACGATGTTCTGGACTCGTATTGGGAAGAAATTCAGCTAAGTGGTTGGAATTGTGAGTGCCAAAAGCTGATTGGGCTTACAGTAAAGTCGTGGGAATTAACCAAGTTATAGGAACATCAAGAAGAGAAGACAGGAAAGTTGAATCTTCAGTTTAGGAGAGTGTTTGTAGCCATGGCCCTTTTCACGTTAGAAAGGTAAAATGACAAAGAACAGTGTATTCTGTCGTAGTAACTGTGCGCGGTAGTTATACTGTACCAAAGTATGCTTATACTACCCATAATGGAGAAAGTAAGGCATTAACCCCACACTATTTAAAGCCAAAAAGTGAGGCAGAAAGCAGGTATAGGCTCAAAGAACCGCTACGTACCGAACAGTCTCTATATAAAACGAGTTCTGTACGAACAATCTGTAAAATGCTTTTTGCTGCACTTTTTAAATAAGCTTATTAGTAATCTGACGTTTACGCCAAATGCTTGTCTGCCCACTCCTTCTGATTAAAGAAGAAAAGAAGAGCTTTTCTCAGCCAAGCAGTGTAGACAAAGAACAACTTTGCTTATCACACATATGTTCTCTGATACCGACAACTAAACTCGAGTCAACCCTTAAACTTTTCTTTGAAATTTGTCGGCAGACCATAAGCACGTCATTCGGACAGCCTTAAATAAACTTCTGTCTTTAACCTTAAAGATAGTTCCAACTTTGCCGAAGTTACGAGTGTAGTGAAAGAAGCAAGCAAAACTTTCCGGAAAAATTTAGTAAAACTAATTAAAAAGTAAAGCAGAAACAAAAAAACTGAATCAATGCTTGCTGCATATTCCACGCTAAGTTCAAATAGATATTCGTTTTTCGCCGGTACTGTCCAGTATTCAAGAAGATGTCTATTTGTCTAGCTTGTAGCTCCGCATCTCTATATGAAGAAACATTCACAGTCTGATCAGCTCACGAGGACGACGCTGAAGTCCCCGCTTCTGGTAAGAAATTTGAGAACATATGAATTAAGTTGTATTTTTTCTAAATCATTTTATACGACACCAACAAACATTTCGAAATTAGCTTTAGTTTAACCTCTTCTCTTCTCACGTACGCTTTCTGCCTAATCAAAAGAATATGGTTAACTGCGACTCAACTTCGTTTACTTCCACATTAAAACCAAACCCACCCTTCCAATCCATTTAGTCACCGTCTACTTTTGCTAGTGTGAAAGTAGTTACGGCGACACAGTTACAGCAGGCCTGAAACAGTTTTATCTTCTAATCACCAAGCGGTTTGTTCTTATACCACTCCAGTAGTACTCGATCCTCCTCAGAGCAACAACAAATTGTTTATACCCCAAAAAACTACAGCTGTGACCAGAAAACTATCCAAAACTAACATCAGTGACACTCCTACTCTCGCTGTCCTCTTCACTGAAATGTTTTCATCTACTTCTTACACTAAACCTTAGAGCATGTAAAAATATTAGGTGTTTAGAAACAGCAACAAAATTGTTTATAACGCTATAACAATGTAAAGGCAACCCCCAACAATTTAAAGCATACAGAAATCAGAGACGAATCCTTTAAAGTGACAAGAGAGCGTCAACAATGACTAGCTTGTAAACAAACAAAAACTAAAAACTTCAACTGGCAGGAAAAAATAATAAATTAGCATCATCGACACAACTTAGGAAAAAAACATTGCATAAAAACTAAACCAGTGTTTACTGATAGATTTAGGCTAAAAGAACTTTGAATGAAAAGAACCCTAAAACAATTGACAACAGAGGGAACTTTGGCAAAGACAATTTGAGAACCTTTATCCGGAATTACTTGACATATAACAATTCTATGCAGTTCTTTAAAAAAAGCAAAGAAAAAAAGAACTTGCATTGACCAACAAATATCACAGAGTCAAAGTTACAATAAACCGACACTGGGGTTTCATTATTTTGAAAGACAATGTTTTCAAGAAATTAACCAAATAATGAAAATTTTTGAAAAGAATGACACCTCCAGTGTCAAGAAATTTACAAGAGTAATTTATATATAAGTTATGGCGCATTGTGAACAAGACAATTCTCAGTAATAGACAACTTGAGCAACTTAACAATCCTCAAATCAAAATAGTTTATTAATGGAAATTTGACTGAAGGCTAAAATAAGAATGGCCTCAAAAGGCAAAAAACCGAAAACCTGAGTAGTAATAAACATAGGACTTTTTTCTACCCGACGTCTCATGGGAACTTCACAGTAATCCACTTTTCCCGAACTAAATAAGAAGGATACAAACCACTTTTACCTGTTCTTCTGTTAGTTCCCTTAGAGAACCCGTTCCAGTGATTACCCGCTACTCCGATAACGTCGCCCACTTCAAGATCAATTTCATTTGCTGTTTCTGCTTTATAACTTCCAACAGCAACTTGTTCGTGAGCTAAATTATCATTGTTTCAAAAATTATTTTAACACTGGTAATTGCCTTACTCTTCAAAATCCACTTAATAAACCATATTTTAACACTGCCCACGCTTTCAGGTATGAAGTTACAGTCAAATAGTTACAAAGCCTACACTTTTAAAAGCTAAAATTTATTTATATTACAGCATTTTTCAAGAAAGAAGCAACCTACTTTCTGTAAACAAATTTATTAGCAATTATTATTTGAAAAAAAAGTAATAACCAGCGTTTAGAGATTGAAGGATGCTTTAAAAGTAAATAACATGCATAAATTTGTATGATTTAGAGAACAGCTTTTAAACGCTTCGTAACAATCAAATTGTTGTTGATTTAAACTTTTTATGATAGTACTTTGAGGTAAACTCCAACACACAATCTGCATACAACCATAAATTTTAAAAATTCAAAGAACGCCAACAAACGTTCAAAATAAACTGCAATAGGTAACACTGTCACCAAAAATAGCTAACCTTCTTGCCCTCCATAATAATAAAGGTCGTCTAGAGAATGAAAGCTTTCACCTGCATCTCCAACTCTAGCCTGCATCAATTCATACCCCATCCTACACACTTGAGAACTAAACGTACATACAAGGTATGAACACCTAAAAAACGAAACGAAGTAGAAAAAGGTCAGCAAATGAAATGCTGATGAAATTGTCACAACTGTGAATCACGTAGTCGCTTCACAAGCCCTTGTAAAATAAACCAAATTTTCTGAAAAAAGGCTTGACTTGCTTGAATAAAACATTTTAATAGATCAAAAAAGTCGTTCATCATCCAGGTGCCCAAAACAGCTTACCGAGCAAGCAGTTCAATATCAATTATAACTCCAATCAATGACTGTTCTGAGTAACGAGATTTCAATTGAGCGCTCTTTGCGATCGAATCGTCTCCAAAAATTTCATAATGTGAATACCTAAAAAAGCGAGTCAGTAGATGAATAATATTCACTTCTCTACGCCCATGGCACTTAACCGTCGTTACTTAGTTCCAACTAGAATCTAAAACAAGTTAAGAATTGGCAAAAACGAATCATGATGACATAATTCAGTAGTTCTAGCGCATGAGGCAGAAAAAAATGCAACCAACACAACTATTTCGCAGTAAAAGGTAAGCAAAACAAATTTTTTCCTTGCCAAATGACACTTCTGATTTTCAGTAGTACAGATTTCTTTCAAGATTTACAAAAATTTTAAGGCAATTTTGTCTACTACAGTATGAATTAGGACTGACTGTGAGCTTGTTACTAAACACCATAGAAAGCACCCACCAACTAGTTCCGTCGCAGTTTAAAGACTTTTTGTGCCAAAAGATTGCTAGATATAAAGTTATTAATCTGAAATTGTTTTAATTTGAGTAGTTTTGCAGTTTTTTAAAAATATAAGCAATTTTGCTAAAATAGTATTTGACAGCCAAACTCCTTTAATTACTGCTGAACTGCTATTCTGTAAAATCTTGTGAACACCTCTAGATTCAATACAACCCTCTTAAATGCACTAAGTGACTACAAGGTCACCTCCAGTTCAGCAATCAAGCGTTGTGAAACGCCATCACATCATCCACTTAGAAGAGCGCTAATTACCAGTTTCCTGCTGAAAAAAAACGAGCAAGAGAGCAATTGCTGAACAACAAGGAGGAACTGCTGTTTGCAGTGTGCGACAGACAAAATGGCCTCTTATTTAATTTTAAAAACACAATTTCTCACGCTTTTTAAGAAACAGCCTGGTTACGTTACAGTGCCTGCAAACTCTCGTTGCAGCCTTAAAAATGTAAAATAAAAAAAGGCTAATCTGAAATAGCTGAAAAACTAATTATTTTTTTACTTCCAAAAATGGAAAATCTTTTCCTTCTAAGTGGGATACGATTTTGTATTAAAACTTTCAATTTATGAAAGGCATAATTAGACGCGCCCATTTCTTCAAAAAAAAAAAACCATCCGACGACTCTTCAAAGAGCTCCTAAAATTAAATAAACAAATTATAGAAACTACAAATCCCGTTTGTAATTTTCACTAAAGTTACTCGCTTTTTTTTTCAACCACGGTTAATCATTTTCTTCTAATGAGAGACTATTAAGCATAATTAAATCTGAGAAGATAATAACATTAACTTCCTTCCTTTTAAATAAAGATTCCTGAAATAAATAAGCCTTTGAAGTGATTTCACGCAGCACTGAAGCATGATCAGTAGCTATAAAGCAATCTTCAAGGCATCATTTTATCCTTTGAAAAAACTACAAAACAACAATCTTCTAGGTGCTCCGAAAAAAATTTGTTTTACAAGGTCTGCGACATTTTGTACAGTCATGCTAGAAGCACTTCAAAAAAGAAAATAATGATGCTAAAGCTACAATCTGTCTTCTGAAAGACACTACAAACTGTGAGCTATCAGTAGAACTACCTATAGATCTCTAAATTTCAAGTTTTGTTCCTAAGGAGAAAAAAATAGTTTAAGCAGTTCAAAAAAATATACGACCTTTCTAAAATTTCTACTGGGAGGACAAAGTCCGTCTACGACGGTGCTTAGAAAGAATTTGTCCATACATGGCACAAGTGTTTAACTAATATAAAACTTCTTAATTGGGCAAAAAATCTGAAAACTCACGAATTGCGAGCTTCGCCAAAAACATCAGGGTCATCAGAAGCTACAAAAACTCTTCTTGCTAATTTTCGACCAAGGCGATTTTCTTCGACCCGAAACCAAATTTCAGCCCAGTTCATGTATTCAGCTAATGGATGGAATGCAGCTTCAGTGCCAACTTTGTCAGTACGACGAATTTGAAGACCAACAATAGGACCTTAACTTATTAATTTATTAGACTAACTGAATTGCCCTAAACTGAAAACCTCATAAACGTAAGCTATCCAATCAACAAATTTTATGTTCTGAATGTCTTGAACAGAAGCCTGCCAACAGAAGAAATAACTCTTAAAAGATACCATCAGCAAATGGTATTTTAGATGCAGCCAACTCCACTTTCCTTTTTGTATTTTCATTAGGCCGCATCAAGTAACGCATAAACTAAAAACAAGCTGCTGTTATATTATAAAATGATTATAAGAAGAGAGTTTAATCACCGCAAAGCGTATTAGGAGTATTACCTGCGAAATAAAAAAGACTGGTGGATTAGAGTGGTACTTGATAAGATCATGCGCAAAGTTTTCGGGAAAGGCAAGAGGTAGAAAGTGAGGTCGATGCCGAAGGCTATCAATTATTGGCAGTAAAACAGCATTATATGCCATACTACCCTCGTATCCATTCCAAGTAAAAGTATCTCTGTTGCTCTGCAAAATGAAAAGGTGTAAATTTAGTGTGAAGAAACCAAAGCAAAGAGGAATGCAGCATACGTTATTGGTAAGAGAAAAAAAGTAAGCTAAAACCAGGTTAACAAAAATTAATGTTTTTATCTTTTTAATCCAACAATTCTTTTTAGAAAGTAAACTGGAAAACAGCACCATTTGCCGTTGAAAAAAGTATTTAATTCTGTAAATGTTCACCTTTCCCCTGACCTAAGTGCGCCCAATACTCACACAACTTTTAAAGCAGGCTTACTAAAAACCCATTTCAAAGAAAACCATACCCGAATGACTTTTTTGTATGAACAGCTTGAAACAGGCAAAAAAACTGATTCCCAACCACTTCTCGAATAACTCCAACTTTGACCATCATTGGCAAGTAACAAAGTGCGATTAGTGCCATATGCAACAATAAAACAGTAAGTCACATGATGTATTTGACAGCCAAACCCACATGCTTTGTTGAGATTGCAAATTAATTTTCTGAAAATCTTTCTTTAACCAAAACTAAGACAACGAAACTCCCAAAAAACGTACGCTTAACTGACAAGAAATAACAGTCCAGCTCAAGACACCTGCAACATAAAAAATCGCATAAATTGTAGCTCCTGCTAAAAAATGAAATAATAACCACAGCGCCATGGAATTTCCTGGCACTGCTCAATAACGGATATCTTTTGTTACCACTTTTAGTGAAATGTTATTCTTACTTAGCTGCAGAACAATCTTCAGGGTTTTGCAAAGCGTTAATACGGTTAGAAATTTGTGAAGCAATATTTGATAAACTAGCAGTTCGCCATTCGCGCGCATTATCTACACTACCCAATGCGGACGATTTTCCTAATACGAAAAGGATCTGCAAAAGTAGAGATTCAAAATAGACTGTGAGTGCTGCTTCAGCAGTTGAGATGATGAAATAAATATTTTTTTAAACAACAATAAATCAGCATAGAAATAAAATCTTTGATTAATTAAGACATATCACTTATTGTAATGGCTTTATTGCAATCTCTTGACAAGTACTTTTTAAGGCGCCTGAAATCTGTTTCTTACATCTATGGATACTGCTACTGCGTTTCGTGCTAAAAACGAAACTTCCAAAAATCTAAAAAACTGGGACTGACGCTGCCTATAAAGATTAATTTCCATTCGCGATTTAAAAAACCACCAAGAAAAACTCCAAACGATCCCGCTAAAGAACAACGGACAAGTTAATGCTACATACAGAACTCTCATTCCGTCAGTTAAAAAAAGTAATTTTTTGTTTGCTTCCGTCTCTTTTGGCATTCGCTGAGCGAGGAGGAACACAGAATAATCACTAATAGACTCTAAAACTACTACTCCTCTGTCTCATCGCACAGCCTCAAAAAGCTATCAACTCAAACCAAAATCATACATTACTTTCATAGCTTCCTAACCACTCAATTTTATTTTTTAGACTCATGAACCACAGCTTAAAACTTTACCAAAAACTTTTTAAGTTTTTGACACAAGTTTGAAAGAACGATAAACTACCAAATTCTATACAAACAAAAAAATTAAAACAAGCAATCTAAAAAAAACAGAAATTTTTTATGAACAAAAAGTAAAATATTTTGAAAAACTATGGCCACAAAATTGCATAAAAGTGATATTTTTCAAAAACATTGTTTTTTTTTGAAGCAATATAATTACAATAAAATGTAAACCAATACTTTTTAACAATCCGAAGTGATACCTGGTTAGTTGCATGTTCCAAAAAGGATTCGTTAGTTCGACTAAACTGATCTTTAAGGTAATAATAAAGTTCTTTAATTGAGTTATCCAAATCTCTTCTAGCAATCTAAAAATTATGCCTCATATAAAAGCCAAAAAAGAACAAAGCTTTTCAAATAACTTCTAGATAGACTAAAATACCCATTCCGAAAAACTACATAAAGGTACCTACAGCAGTAAAGTAGACAACATCATGAAATAAAACTGAATCAGACAAAAACATTATTATGTCACCCAAAAGCAATGGCGTTCTCACAATAATTAGAAGTAAAACATCTGCTTTCTGTCAAATTCCATTTATTTAGGTTGTCTTCTTCTCAGTCTTCTATTCACACGTTACTACCTCTTCTTGTAGATAATTTTAACTTTTTACCACAAAGCCAGTGACAGCAATTTTGCAGAAAAAAAAAAAAGATTTTTGCACATTAGTCGTTCTACAGAAAAATAAAATCCAATGCGGTTGTTCAAAAAGAATATATAAGAATTTATAAAATAGAAAACTTTCTAAATGAACAAAAAAAAGGTAAAGTAAAATGTTATAGTTTGAAAAAATTAGAATGAAATAAGAAAATAAAATCCCCATCGCTTTTATCAGATGTAATGGAACAAAACTACTTTATGATGCTTACTGCCCACCAACCCGACTGACGTACAAAAGGAGCCACTAAACTAAAAGAGCTCCAAGCATTTTAACGAGTGACCATAAAAGGAAAAATTCAGAACTAAATTACAGTTACCAAAAGATGTTTTTCTATCCATATTCTCACCAGGTGTCCTCTACTAATTCTTTGAAATCTAATTAGAATCAATGAATACTATGATTATTATGCTTATAAACAATACGCTTCTAGAAAGCGCACGCTGCTTTTCCCAGTAGTTTTTTTTTAGTTTTAATGTGAGTAAACAGATACGTTATTATAACAGTGAAATGTGGCGAAATTACTTTCAATACACTCTTTGAACTTTTAGAGAATTTTGAATGAAAAGAAATAAATACACCAAAAATACCACTCCGTTTCAAACGACCTAATTAATAAATGAAGTCCTCACCTCATGTTCATAAGTGTATAAGTCAGATACGTTTGGGACGAGAACTGGTTTCTTCACTGTTTCCTGCCTACGTAACACTCCTCTTAGTTCTTCATTTTGCTTTTTTAGTTTATTCAAATCTTCAATTGCTTGACCATATCTATTAATTAAGTCCTCATTCACTAGCTGTTCAGTCTCTGCAATAAAAGAATTTAACTTGTACAAAAAAAAAAAAGAAGAAAAAATAAGAAAGTATAAATAATATTTGGTAATAAAAATCATACAGAAAATTTTAAGCCTTAAAGAGCAACTTTTCTTACGCACAATTAACTGCTACTTATTCTAACACTTAATAAAATTCGAAAAATCTTCCTTATGATCAATAGCTTCTTTAAAACAGCATAATAAAGTTAAATCCTATACTGCGTTACATAAAAGTGATTCTTAGCACAAAATTTGCCAAGTTTGAAATTAAAAAAAAGTCAAACGTAGCGATAGGCGATAAAAAAAGCTATTTTTAATAGTTTACCACTGAAAAATGTTTGCTTGATAAAGACTTTTGGAAAAGCAAAAAAATTTCAAATTAAAACAAAAAATTTTTCTTTTGTTCTTTCAGCAATTCACCTAAACCGTCAACAATAACTAATTAACTATTAAAATACTTAAAATTATCGTTGCGTAATAATTTGCTTAGATAATGAGCACCAACAGCGCTGAAAACGCTTCAGTGCCATTCGCTCAAAAGGCCGTCAATATTTTCACAATTGTTTTTCCCAAACATTTTCTACTCAGCTTTTGATAATAGCTTATATACATATATTGTTTATAGCAGTTATTTTAGCCAATATATTTTCACCAAATTTACCACCTCTTAGCCCTATATTTAAAATTACAGAAACGTCATCACCGCTATGTGTATCTAATGTAAACGCGTAATAAATCAACAAAAATCTCTCGTTGATATTATGTTTTAAATCCAAAACAGCACTCTTTGCAGTATTGATATCCAAATTCAAAAAATTCTTGGCAAATCAATGTATATGTTTCGGATAAATATCAAAAATATTTGTTTATCCTACTCTTATTTTTATTCATCTTAATTTCTTCGAGACTGTTTCACATACAAGAAGGTAATGAAGAACAAAAACAACAACTTCTTTGTTTTTAAACAATGCAAAATTTAAAATAGCAGCAAAAAATGTTGCAAAACATTAGCCGAGTACACGTTCTTCAAACCAGATTGCTCTAAACCAATAAACTAATAAACTATTATAGTTGGTCCTTTATGATAAACTGTTCATCCAAAACTCATCAATTTTTCAAGCAATTTTTTTAACTAATGAAATATACGATAACTTTACATTGCACGACTAAACCTTCAATAATTTGATGGTTCGTATATTAAATGTTGAACCCAAAAATGATAAAGCACTAAATGCATTCGTCTTCTGCAATATATAATAATACTTACCATATGATACATAATAATACTTCCCTTCCCGCCCATAAAATCCTTACAATGACTTCTACAAGAAAATGTCAGGCTTTTCAAGAATGTAATCTGCAAACCGTCTAATGAAAGTGATATCATTAACAATGCTTTCTTCCGAGTGTAGTAAGAAACGAAAGAGAATATTTGCAAGTAGAACAATTACCTCTGGATGAAATAATTAGTAAGCTTCCAGATAAATAAAATGTGACCAACAACCATACACCGACAGCTAGAAGAGCGAAGCGTTTCATAGAACAAGCCGGATGTAACCGAGTCATCGCATCATCGCGACAGACCTAAGACCAACAATGCCTTAATAATGACAGCAACAACTCTGAAGGTTACAGATAGAATTCAAAAAAGAACTAAACTAGTAGTTTTTAAACGTTGTATTAGAAAAAATTTTTCACTGTCCAAGTCCCTTATTTCTGATGCCGAAAAAAACAGAACCAATTTTTTCTTCCTCACAGTTTCTTCCATTCCCTCGCCAGAGCTTCAGTACATTAAAAGAAGCGCTACGATGAGCACTGGAAACGTCAGTTGGAAATTCTCATGGTAATAAAGTCAGTTGTGGAATATCAATTAGGATATACATCCGGCAGCCAAAAAAAGTCCTTAAATAATTAAACACAAAAACTTCTGAATTATTGATTGTTCACATTACTTTTAAAAATTATGTGCTTTTCCAAACTCTAATATGATTCCGCAAAAAGTGTAATCGTATCTAAAAATTTGATAATATCATTAAAAAAAAAAAAACAAAAAAACATCCAGAAAAAAGAACAAAACTATAAAGTATGCCTTGAAAATTTCCATGACAATAAACTTGAAGCACCTAGAAAAAAAAAATAAAATGATAATATTACGTAACCGAGACAAAATACAATTAGAAGCGATGGTAAAAAATAATTCTTATCAAAATGTAAACATATCTGCACAATTTAGAAATAAAAACTGAGAAGAACATCAGAAAAGCCTATATACACTAGACCATAAACCGTATGCAAACGAGTAACCAACATAATAAGTGAAAGTAGAGCCTAAAATAATAAAATCAAGTAGTTTCATGAAGAAAAGCAAAAAGCTAAAAACTCCACAGACTATGAGAAAAATGGTGAGTTCAATGAGCCCGTCCAGGAAAATTTCACCAGCTTTATCTGCATCCAAAAATAAACTAAATCTGAAAGCTATCCTAACTAGAAAATAAACTGTCTTTTTAACTGTCTAAATACAGTAACTGATAGTTTAAAAAAGAGATAAAAATTCAACACTAATTTTTTATCCAAATTTTGCTTCATCAACCAAAACTGACTGTGCTATGTAAGAAATCAATTACAGGTGAAAATAGCTGCACATTTTCAAAATACAAAAAATACGCCTATTCGTTCTTTTGTTTTCCTCAACAAACTGTCTATTTTTATTTCACAGTTTACCAGCAATCATTCATCGTTTTGGCTGTACAACAAATACAGTAGCAAAATTTAAAAAAAAATCAAATTTTTAACAGTTTAATTTTTTAAATAATAAATTCTGCTAGCAAAGCTATAAAGTTGAAAAGTTTAACCAAAAGAAAAAAGACAGAGTTATCGTCAAGTTTTTCAGTTTTTTTCTTTAGCCAAAACATATTAAATTCCAATATCACTGTTCACATATGAAGAGAAAAGTGGGCAAAAAAAGAGCCAAATAAAGACAATTTAAAAAATGCTAAATTTTGAAGGTGAAAAGACAAAGCAAAAACAAAAATTTCTCTTTTCTACTACTAAAACAGACAAAAATAAAAACAATGACAATGAACATGATGACGATGACGGCTAAAAAACAAAATTTAACTGCTTCTTCAACAGCTTTTTAATGTATATAAAATAGAGAAGAAAAAAGAAAGAAAAATAAAATAAAATGATGCCTTTAATACTGTTTTACGTAGATTGTCGTTTTCAAAAGATTAGTTTAAACGGCTTCGCTCAGTTAATGTGAACGCATTTTTCTAACGTCGCAAAAAACTGGTGATAAAACTGAGAGCAATATAGAAGATTAAAAAATAGCAAAAAAAACTGGAAAAAAAAAAGGAAACTAAAATTTCTTCCAATTTATATACCTAGTTTAAAGCATAAATAAATTAAAAAATTCCATCCTTTTTTTTCCCCTTATTCGTTAAACAGACAGTCAAAATGAACTCCTATATGTTGTGCTGCTTCTCCACAAAGATTTACATGTACTCCGCTTTCTGTAAATTAAAAAAAGTGAAGAAAACCACGATGAAAGGAATTAGACCACAAAAAAAAATACACGAACATTAACCAAAAGCAATAAATGATGAACGAAGACGAAAAAGTGGGCAAAGCAGAAGAAGCCAAAGAAGAAGAAAAAGGAAGAATAATTCGTGTATCAAGCTAACTAAGCTGTTTGCTATATAACAACAATAACATATCATTTTTTAAGTGTGTTCAAAATATTCTAAAGCACGAAAAAAATGACAAAGTTACTAGACAGTGTTCGGTATGTATCATCACAACAACATATTACTCCATTCCCCTTAGACTAACCAAAACAAACAAAAAAAAAAGCAAAAAAAGAGCCAAAAGATAAAAAAAAAGGAGAAAGTCCTAGAAAGAAAAATAAACGAGTATATTGACAAAATTTTTTCATTTTCTTCCTTCTTCCTCTTCTTCTTTTTCCTCTATCTTCATTTTTCACTTTCATTGTTAGACCATTTTCGATTTGGAAAATTAAGCATGACATGACCATATGATGCAATAATTGTTGTGACGCAGAAAGATAAAATAAGAAAAACTTTTCTTCTTTTACTTTTTGAGGCGGCAGCAACAATAAAAATAACAACAGGAAAAAAAAGCTTTATAAAAAAAGCTAAAAAACAGACAACAGAAATAAAAATGTTATTGCAAATGCAGCTCAATGCTTTTGACGCATAAATTATTTTACTTCTTATTTCTAAAAGCAGCTAAAGACTAAGAAAATATATCACACACACACACACACACACACACACA